CCCTTTCACTGCTGACTTCAAACTGCCAGAATTAACTTTTTATGAGAGGATCAGAGTAGCTTCATGGATGACAGGGGTATTGGAGATTATATTCAGGATTTCAGCAGAAGGAGATTAAGGAAAGTGCAATCAAGACATCAGCAATGAGCCCATCCCTTCTCTCAGCATAAGTTGCTGGGGAAGTTACCTTACTTGCAGCCTGCCACAAACCTAGTGTGAGTGTAGGGAGTATCTCCACTCCCCAAATCACTGCCTACAACTCCTGCTTTAACCTGGTTAAAATATTGTGTCTGTAGCACACCTATGTCCCTGCTACAACTGGAAGTCCCCCAGATTGGTACCCTGTGGGTATCAAGACTGCCACAAATCACATCCAGATTTGTACTGAGGGGGCCAAATCTGAACACTGATTTTGGAATGGAGAGGTTAAGAGCAGGGAATATGGTCAGTTAACAGGGGACTGAATTTTGGCTATGTCCATTAATAGCTTTATGACCCTGCCTGTTTTTATTTTTTTATTTTATTTTTTTAAAGATTTTATTTATTTATTTGACAGAGAGAGAGAGAGCGAGAGCAGGAACACAAGCAGGGGGAGTGGGAGAGGGAGACGCAGGCTTCCCGCCGAGCAGGAAGCCCGATGTGGGGCTCGATCCCAGGACCCTGGGATCATGATCTGAGCTGAAGGCAGCCACTCAACCGACTGAGCCACCCAGGTGCCCCAGACCCTGCCTGTTTTTAAAAAATAAACTTTAGCCTTTAGAATAGTTTTAGGTCTAGCAAAAAAAAAAAAAAATGCAAAGATATAACAGAGAGTTCTCTTATTCCCCACACCCTTATTAACATCTTACATAATATGGCTCATTTGTTGCAGTTAATAAACTTATATTGATACATTCTTATTAACCAAAGCCCATACTTTATTCATATTCAGATTGTCTTAGTTTCTAACTAATATCCTAGCTCTGTTCCAGGTTCCTATCCAGCATGCCATAATGCATTTAGTCTTTATGTCTACTTAGCCTCCTCTTAGCTGTTCCAGTTTCTCAGACTTTTCTTGTTTTTAATGACCTGGACAGATTTGAGGAGGACTAATAGGTATTTTGTAGACTGTCCTTCAGTTGGGATTAGTCTGATGTTTTTTTCGTGATTAGTCTTGTGTTTCAAACAGGAAGATCACAGAGGTAAAGCACCATTTTCATCACATCATATCAAGGAAACATATTACCAATATGATTTATTGATGTTGATGACTATTGAGCTTGATCACCTGGGTGAGGTAGTGTTTGTCAGGCTTCTCCACTGTAAAAGTATTCTTTTTCCTCCTTCTCCATACTGTAGTCTTTGGAAGAAAGTCACTACATGCAGCCTACACTGAAAGAATAGGCCCTTTGCCTTTCTGTGCCTCAGTTTCCTCAGAAATAAAATTGAGCTAGTAATAGAACACATTTTGTAGATATGTTGTGCATATTCAGTTAACAAATGTAAAACATTTAAAACAGTCCCTGGCATAGAATAAACCACAAATATTAAAACTCTGTTGTTATTTTCCTTTTACACCAGCTTCCGTGGAAAAAGCCCATTGAGATAGTTAGTCATACATTTATTCATTCATTGATTTGATGAACATGTTTTGAGCATCTATTATATGTCAGGCACTGTCCTAACCCTAAGGTTACAATGAGCAAAAACAAATACAGCCCTGACCTATAGAATATAGTACAATCTATCGAGAGAGAGAGATTAATGAAGTAATCACACAAATGAATATATACTTCCAAATAATGAGAAGTACAATGACGAAAAAGTCATGTGGTTATATCAGGACATATTCCAGGGGAACCCACTTAATTCTTCTCTGGAGTGACAGTTGAGCAGGCAGCTGAAAGATGGAGCCGTGGGGGTACACATGACGAAGGAAGCAACTGCGAGAAGAGCACTATGAGTCGGATAAAGAAAAGGAGGCAGAGAGTGGTAGGATAGGAGGGCTAGACAGGTAGGCAGAGCCAGACCAGATGGAGCCTGCGGACCGCCCTTTGGGTATGTATCCATAGTAGCCTTTGTAGATTTTGAAGCAAAGAGTGACCTGATTCGATATCAAATATCAACAAGATTACTCTAGCCACAGAATGGAGCCAGGACTGGATGAGATCAGAGTAGATGTGGGGAGGCCAAGCTTCTGCAGCCATCCATGTGATAACAATGATAACTCACACCAGACAAATGGTTACAAAGAAACGAGAAGCAGAAGGGCTCCAGAGTGGGACACAGACTAGCAACGAGAGTGAGGGAGTCAGAACAATGAAGCATGACTTGACTTTTCTGTTTGGGGAATTAGATGGCAGGCAGTGATATTTAAGGAAAGTGACACACTGAAAGAAGACAGGTATGAAACATAGGGTGCATGAAAGGAGGATGCAAGGATGTAAAGGAGATTGGGGGCCAGGTGGAGTAAGGACCCTGAAAACCACCTGAAGGAGTCTGGACACTGTACATTAGAACAGAGGGAAGATAGAAATATTTTAGGCAGGCCTGCCCCTAACATTTTCATGGCCCAGGGAAAGAGTCTAGATGGTTTTCCCAATTCCATATGTTCTAAAACTTTTCCTCACCACCACGCAAAAACAGGCAACCTCTACCTTCAAGGGGTCCCTAACCCCTCACCCCTAACAGCATTGCCCTTTTAGGTTCTTTAAAAGACCCTGAGGCTGAAGGTTAAAATTTACACTTCCCAGACTCCCTGGAGTTTGGTACTTGAATGTAGAGATGTGGGGAAAGTCAGCCCTTAGCTCTTGGTCCCCAGTCCATGGCCGGCCTGCCCCTTTGTTTCCACCCTCTAACCCACCCTGTGCCATGAAGGACCTCAAGTGCAAGTCTGTGGACAATCCAGCCCACTCATTCAAGCTCTAAACCATTTCCCATTGCAACCCCTGGGAAAAGCAGCTGTCCCTTGGCCACCCCCACGCAGATTCCAGAAGCCAATTGGGCAGGAGTGTCCAGGGTCCTGGACATCTACAGTGAGGTCTATAACAGGGACATATTCCATGTGGGCGCTGTGAACTCTTCTCCCACCTGGTGCTTGTTTTACGTCAGTTACATACCCCCATTAACATCAATACACTGCTGTATTGCTTTGAGTAAAACTTACTTATGGCCCGTCACATTTAAAATTTACTATCTTGAAATAATGGAAAATTTAATGCCCCTACCTTCCCAAACTCAATGACTGACTGAAATAAATGCTGCTTCCCTCTGAAAGTTCAAATAAAAGAAAAACCATCATAATAATAAACATCATAACCATTCATCTTGGTGGTAATTACCCATTCATGCCAACCCCCTTCAAGATTTAAACTCTAGTTAAAATGCAGAAAGATGAACAGATTGAAGAATGTAGCTTATTTATTTATATCCAAAGTGAAAGTGCCATTCTACACTCCAAAGACTTTAAGACAAATCTGACAGCCTAAATTACTCCCTACCAAAGGAAATGGTCTTGATAGAATAAGACATTAATAAACAATCTGGATTTTCCTCATTTATTTTTACTTTAGTTTTCACTTCTACTCTATATTTCAAAAGGCGGTTTATGATAAAAATCCATACACAACAGCAGATAGCTAAAAGTGAAGTTAAGAAAAAGATATCAGAAGCTGTTTAGAGAAAAATGGGATAATTTTATCAGGAATCTGAAATAAGACATTATTCATGAGTACTAAATTAACTCTGAGTTTCCTAGCAGCCAAGGTAAAGAAAAAAAAAAACAACTGAGGAGGCTTATATATCTCTCAGAGCTTGAAAGGAGCATATTCTCAGTTCTTTAAAAGAGACACACATCCCCCTGCCACCAAAGTCATATCAAAGAGTGCCTCCATGTAGCAATGTTAAGGGCCGCAAAAATTTCTTCATTTCATTATTAGCCCTGCATATAATCTAAATGTGTACCAAGAAGACGTGTGTGTGGAGAATAATCTAATGCCAAACATATGCTTCCTGAAGAACAGGATTGTTGCAGGGCTCAACATTACAGAACCCAGAATATAGAGAACTGGTGTGTCCCTGATGCTCTCTGTCACACATCAGTTGTCCCGGGAGCATTTGTAACCAATACAACACTGAGCTTTAAATGCTTGTGCTCCTGTTAACTAGAAAATGTATTTCAAAAGGTTTATATTATAGTTAGCTAAAAGGAAATGCATATTGATACAGAATTTCAACCTCAAAGAAAATATGGCTTAATTTATAATGCCATTTATAAGTGATCTCAGCAGCCAAATTGAACCCAGACAAAAAACTGCAAAAGCGTAAGTTATGCCTTGGTATATGTCCAGCTTGGTAGCATACCAGCCTCCTTTCACCACAATAGACTTATGCAGAAACTGAGATTTTCGAATTATCAAATGGCTGTAGATAGTAGTTTTTCTCTTCTTTCTAAGTAATAGAACCCCTAATTTGTTCAGATTAGCAATATACCCAGCTTAAAATAATCAGTTTCCATTCCCTTGCAGCAATGGCTGGATATGCTGGTCTTGGGACACAGTTATGGCCAAGGAGAAACGAGCAAAGTCTACCAGAAGGGCCTGTAGGGAACTTGCTATACAGGACAAACTCAATTCACACTTGTGCTCTTTTCCCTCTCCATCCTTCATCTTGTTAGAAAACAAACAAGGTATCTGGAGTAAGACCAGCCATCTGGGGACAAGTATAAAAACCAGAATTGAGAACACTGAAAAGGGAGCTGGAAGGAGGTTGGGTACTTGACAACTCCCTCAAGCAACTTCACCAGCTCTGGAGTGCTTACCCCCGCAATTCTTCTGACATGAGAAAAATAAAATCTTTTTTAGTTAGCCACTGTAGATGGGTTTTTGTTACACTCAGCAGAACGTAATCCCTAACTGAAAAATAGGCACATACCCCCCTCTCTAAATGCCTCATTCAGCAAACCAAAAGTAAAATTGAGACTTCAGGTCCAGGGAGAATGGGCAGAAGAGAATAAATCTCACCTTCAGGATAGCATTCATTCTGGCGGCAGAGGCATTGCAGGTGTTCACCAAATCCTGTTTTCCTCTTGGTCCCACAGATGAGCGCATTTCACAGCTTTCCCCAGATGTGGCCATGCGTCTTAGTTCTGCCCAGTGAAACAGGGAAGGGAGTAATGTATGCCATTTGCAGATTTGATGCATTAAAACCTTCCTTTGCAATTTACCACGCTAGCTTTATTCCCACACTCCAACTGAATGTACAGGAGGAAGAGCTCTGGAAAATGACAGAGTCAAACAAAGAGGCCTAGGTCCCTGACCCAGAGGGCAGACCCCTGCACTTGCAGAAGCTGGACAGAGACACACACAAAAAAAACATTGATTGTGTTAAGTCACTAAGATTTTGAGGTTGCTGTTACAGAAGTCAGCCTACTATGAATATAACTCTAGGAACAGTCTCCAAAGTGGAGGGCAAGCACTGTAGGGAATATGCAGGATGATCTGCTGGGGTAAAGAGTAAAAATATTACAACTACATTTTTAATTAGCCAATTTGAGGCCATTTTTAAATGTGCATAATATGTTGGTAAAGTGCTATATAAATATATTGGAAGTATGCTCAAAAAAGTTTTTTACTAAGTGGGATGCACAATTCTAAAAAATCATGAATGTCATTGTTCTAGAGAACTAGTTTTAAAGCATTTTTAAGACACAAAACTCACTCTTCAAATGAGAACTTCCTTGTGAAGCTGTTAGAGAAAACGGGTGATGGCACTGCTGCTGTGGTTAATGAGGGTGGAAACCCCAAACCCCATCCCTCTCAACCCCACCCCAGAAGAAATGAAGCTACATCAACGAAAGAGTAGAAGTCTCAGTATTGAGGTTTTACACAAGACTTTGATCAGGAAAAGGATGACATTGCTTAATTTTTTAAAGCAATCATGCTATATAGAATCTATGGAACATTCTAAAGATCCTTATAGTTGACATATATTTCTTGGTTTGAACTGGTTTGAATTGGGCATTTATATATTGGCTCTTACTACCGGGTGAAGGGGGTTGGGAGACCTGACCACTTAGCTTTGTTTGGTTCTGTCGTGAAATTTCTTCATCTTCATCTAAACTGTAGGAATAGAGCAGAAGGATGGAAAAAACAGAGGAAATGGCAAAGCTAAGAAAAGGGGATAGTGTTTCTCAGGCAGCTTGAGAAACCAGCAGCTGCTTTAACATCTCTGGCTTCTACCTGCAGATGCACAAAAGGGCCAAGCAGAAGCCAAGCCCCATATCCCAGCTCCTCTTTCATTAGGTTGAGGGTGCAAAGGAGCTCAGAATTTAACCCAAAGAAACTACTTAAAACCATTTAGAAATAAGAAGTCTTATGTGAAATTAAACCTCTGTTACAGATAAGTGTGAAATATAGAAGAATTATTCACACAACAAAGAATCCCAGAAAATATAGTATACTGTTACTATGGCAAGATTATCCAGAAACCCAAATGCACTCAGGGAACTTGGAGCCTGTTTCTTATTTATTTATTTATTTATTTGAGCACGAGCGGGGGCTGTGGGGGTGGGGGAGAGGGGAAGAGGGAGAAGGAGGCACAGACTCCCCACTGAGCAGGGAGCCCAATGTGGGATGCAATCCCAGGACCCTGAGATCATGACCTGAGCTGAAGGGAGATGCTTAACTGACTAAGCCACCCAGGCTCCCTGGAGCCTGTTTCAATCACTCTCTAATTCATTAAAATGAGGTCAGCAAATTAACAAGTGTCAATTTGAAGTATACAAACCTCTGACTAATTTCTTCTTTTTCTTTAGGGTGGAGAGAAGGAGAAGGAGATAATAACAAAATTACCCTCGGCAGCTAAGTACAGACTGAAAGGAATAATCAAATAGAACAGTTATTTGACTTTCTATTGTCTCTAGCAAGCTTATGCTGTCAAATATTTGCATCTGTTTTTAAGCTATCACTGTCTAATAATTTTTGAATGTATAAAAAACATGTTTTTCGACTTTCCCCCCTATTATGGCACTATCCGTCTTATATACTACTTCAGGCTCCAACGAGTCCATACAATTTATATGTCAGAGATCACGGAGCAAGCAGTAGTTAATCAGATTTGCAGGTCTTCCACCCCTAAGTGCTTTCCGCAGCCAGTGCCTCCACTTGGGTGCCCAGCTTCTGACAGGTACCAATGATGTAATTACTATCTCAGCCTACTGTATCGAGGTGCCAAGGATATTCATATCATCAGTGTTGTAAGGGCAGAGCTATCTTTGAACTCAGTGTTGCTTATTAAGTGAACATAAAGCAACTCAGAGAACAATAAAAAGCAATGCTTTAAATGGAATGTCCCGATAAGAATATTCGTTTGCTTCTTTGTGACAGACGCTGTCACAAAGCTTATACGCAACTACTCTTTCTTTTCCTTCCCTTGAATATGTTTGCTGTGCTGATGATAAATCTACAGTCTACGCTGAGCTGAAGAAAAACAGCTGGGGCGTTTCTGTATGCCAAGGCTGTGGGCCACATCTATCATCCTCTTTCCTTGTTTTCCTTTTAATTATTTCACTTCAGTCAGAAACTTGACTTCAAATCATAAGCCTAAGGAGAAACTAGATTTTAATTTACAGAAGCACAGCTAAATATTTTTGTTCTAAGACTATATTTCATAATAAAGATGGGAGCCCCAGGGCTCCTTAAACCAAACGGCAACTATAAACATTTTTCTTCATGGCATGTTTTTTTGCATCAAAAAACAAACCTGACTTCACCTACAGCCCATCAACCAAAAAGTTATTATACGATTACATTCCCCTTTTCCAACCTGCCACCCCACACTCAATACCGGGAATTAATCACATATTAGAGATGAATTTTCTTAAATGGGCCATTTCTTCAGGAACTTCTGAGGTTGATTTAGACCTCTAGCTGGGGCTAGGTGACCTTTTTGGAGGAAGGCCCACTCTACTCCACCTACTCCATTGGGAAAGCACTTCCTCTTTCCCCTTTTCCCTCCAGGTCTGCAGGTCCCAAAGAAGCTAATAATCTGGGTCTGCATTAAGACTGCTCAAACAAGCTCACCCATTCATTAAGCACAAGGTCTATCCAAAGCACCACAACTGTGCAGCCCATAGCTGAGTCGTTCGAGCTCCTCCATAGCCCTAACACAACAGTGAGCAGGACTATGGATCAGGTCCCATGTATATCATAGTTCTGGAGATATTTCACACCAATTAAGAGAACTGATGGCCCAGGATCAGAGGGAGGGGAGGGAACAGTTAACATTCCCCAGCATTCTGTCCAGCAGCCTTTGTCAGAGATATTAAAGTCTTTCAAAGGGGATATATTGGTTCTATATGTCCAAAGGTCTGGGTTAAGCGCTTTCCTTTTATATTTGTTTTCTTTCAAGTAAAAAAAAAAAAAAAAAAAAGACTTTACAACTTCCAATAAGAAAGGTGAGTTCATGTTTCAAGAAAACTGATTGAATGAACTCAAACATGTCAGTGTTGTCAGTGATGTCTAAGAAGTTGAAAAAAATCCAATTTTATAGGTCAGTTTGGGTGATGGGGTGGAAAACTAAACAAATGGCAGAAATCTGTGGAGTAGGCTCAAAATTTAGAGATGGAAGGAGTTAAAAGATTCTTAAATCCAAGCACCAACTCAGTTAGATAAGGAAACCGAGACTGCAACTTGCTCACACAAAGCAGGTGGCAGAATGAGGGCAAGAACCCAGGGCTTTCCTCAGGTAATCAGGGACTGTTGAGCACCTATGGCATGCAGTATATAATAAGGGGCTCTTAGGGTACTGACAAATTCTTCCCAAAAAATCAGCAACATAAGTAGGACCCATTATGGCATTTCTGAAAATGGACTAATTATATGGTTTGCCTTCAAAGAACTCAAAGAAAAAAAGACTCAAGACACAATATTACATTACACCAAAAAATTAAAATGTTATTTAAATATGTATAAATGTAAAACTAAATCCCTTATGCTTATTGTTCTTTTAAGCAACTATCAAACCAGAACAAATTTGAAAATTAAATGCAAATAGAACTACAAACCCAATACAACCCAATTAAAAGCATTATTTTAACGTGACAAATTTATGTGCTTTTGCTAAAACCAAATCACCTTTGGGAATATGCACTTGGTGCTGACTGCTAAAGCACAAGTTCATTTGGGCTGAGCAGGCCCATTTCACCATGTACAAGGGATGTCATTTAGCCAGCTTCTGGTCTTCTTCCTGAGCCATAGGAAGTTGGGATCATTTGGCACCAACACTGGCATGGATGCAAGCCCAGTGTTCAGTTACAGGATGGTCCAGAAGATGCTTAGCCTAATTTTTAAACCATTATCAAAACAAAAGCTCTAATTTTAAAAACTGTCATAGAACATGCAGTGTAGCCTCAAGAATATAGTCTCGGACCACTCTGAAAGATAGTGATTAATTTATTATTTGAAGGTATTTTTTCATTGTTTTCCATTTAAAATCCTAGACTAGAAAGCTGGCTCAAAGGGAAATATTTTCAATATGATGTGATTAAGACAGAAGAGTTTTTATCAGATGGTTTTATATAATTTCAAGTTAGAACATCATTTAATACTTGAACACTACCCACTACCATGAATGCACTTCACCAATTTTCTAGTAAGAGATTAGAGGACACTCTCTATATTCACAAAGGTTTGTTTTAGAGCTTATTGGGAATATGAAAATCATAAATGTAAATCAAAACTATGCAGCACTTACATATAAGTCCCTAGTAAAGCTAAACCACAAGGTAGGAATACCGGCAGCATAGAGGCCTGCAGCAAGAGCAGTGAGGCCCAGGGCAAGCATTTAAAAGTATGATTTGCAAAACTACATCAATAAGGTTTGCTGTAAGCTTCTTCTATTATCATAAAGGACCTAGTCATTTTCTTATGCATGTCATTTTCTTTTAAGCTTCATTGTGTACAATGTTGTGCTATAATTTCTTTAACCACAATTTCAGATTGGATACTATTGAGTATGAAAACGGACTTCAACTTGATGCCACAGGTGGAAAGAAGACTATTGTTAAACACCCTTATTTCTCAGATTCACAGTCCTTAAACTCTTGCAGCACAGCCTGTAATCTGTTAGAAATTCA